GCTCACAGTTTCAAGTTAAATCAACAGTTCTGGCAGAATGGGCACCAGAATTGCAGTCAGATCCTCAATTGCCTTTAAAAGAAGGGAAAATGCTGTGTGACATTTGAGGATGACACTAACAGCATCACTAAAATAAATTAAATGAATGTTATCTCTTTTTCTGAGTGGCTTTTAGAGTCTTTATAATGCTTTTTGGATTGTTACTGCAGACTAGCATTAGCACAGTACCAAACATCTATTTCCATGTAATTCATCTTTTGCAATATTTGATAGTCCTGGAGTAATGGAGGAGCCATTCTTAACTGGAAATGGAAGAAATGGAGCATCAGAAGAGATAGGATGCTATCAAATAAGAAAGCAAACAAGTCCCTGAAATTAGAAAATGTGAGTTTTTCCAGCTTTCAAACAGAACTGATAGCACCATGTGGGGTTACAGGAGGTTTACCCACGGCTGTTAAGCTGCAAAGAGCTTGTGTAAATAGATTTAATTTCCAAACAAAATCAGACCTCGCTCAAAATGAGCACTTCTCTCTACATTCATCCTCAAATGGCAAATTTCTTCAGAAAGTTTGAGCCCTGACTTCTAAGACTCTACAACTCTGAGATTTACACTTGCATGAGGCAAGCCTGAGTTTGAATTTAAGGCAAGGCTCTGAGTTTAAAGCAGGAATCTCAGAGCAGCTGGGATTCAGGGAATTTGAATTTTGTTCTGAACTTTGTGTGACTACCTAGGGTACTCTGAAAAAAAAGGGAAAACTCTGTGTTTTGACTTTGAGGGGGATTAAAAGCTTGAGGTGACATAAATCACAGATAAGTGTTCTGAGGAGGAGTTTGGCTCTCCAGATGTGCTGTTCTCAGTTTGCAGGGGCAGTTAAAGAATTTCAGTGCCCACCTTTGACTGGAAGGTTCACAAGCCCTTGCCCTGGGCCATTTGTCAGACATGGCACCATGAAGGTGTCCCAGGGATGGTTCAGGACAGGTTTGTGCCTGTCTGGATGTGCCTTTCATTGTTCAACAGCAACACCACCAGGAGCTCAGGACCAGAGTGCCAAGATCCTGTCCCAAACTGCACTGGTTGCTCTCACCCCATATTATCTTATACAACAACAATTTTCAGCTTTTGGTGAGGCCTCAGAAGACCCTGAATGAAGCCCCAGTGAAGGAGCAATTCCCCCCAAAGCAAAGGAGTCCCCCAGAGGAGCCTGTTTGTGGAATCACTGCATTGCAATTAGCTCTGCACAATCCTTCTGTGAGGAATTACAGGACCTTACTCACAGCATCTGTCAAAATAATTGCACCTCTCAATGATTTTTATCCCTCCATTCCTTGTTTTAAATATGTTCATTAATTAATGGCTCAGCTCATTTCAAAGTGGCCCTGAACTGAAATGAGCAGCACATCTTCCTCATTATCCTGGGAGCAAACTGAAACCCTCTCTGTCAGCTCCTGGAGCCCTCTCTGTTCCTCTGCTTGTTCTGATTGAGACAACACTGTAAAGGGAGAGGAGGTTATTTTGGAGCTGTAGGTGACAGGTGACACCAGAGGGCTGACACTGCACAGGTTGTCCTAGATTGCAAGATAATGTGTATTCTATTTATCATCTATTAGAGGTGGGGCAGATTATCTCCTGTTCATTGGGCAGTTTTCTTTATCTCTTCCACAACCAATCCTTCCTCCAGGAGATGTCTTCTGTTCATGGCCAGTGAGTGTCACTGCATTTAAAAAATAACAAATATTATATTTATATAATTATAAAATATATTATTAAATATTATAATATTTAACAAATAAAATAAAAATAAAATAAATAATAAAATAAATAATAAATAAAAAATGGCTGATAAAATTCTATCATCCCATTGGGACATGCCCTGCCCAGGGGGAGGAGCCAAGCATTCCTACCTGGATACAATCTGAGGTTTGGGACACCAGAACAGCCTTTTCCAGTGCATTCCCAGAGGAGCAGCTGCCTTTTCCATTGGATCTTCAGAGGAAAACTCCCCCCTTGTGCAGGATCCCTGCTGCAGCAGAACCACAGCTGGCACTGCAGGAGGGCTGAGCCACCTTGGGATGGGGCTGTGCCACCACCCTGACACACAGGGGATCAGCTCCTCTTCTGACTCTGCCAGTGTTGCTCTGTATTACTGCATTTTAATTTTTATTTTTATTTTTATTTTCTTCCCTAATAAAGAACTGTTATTCCTGCTCCCATATCTTTGCCTGAGAGCCCCCCCTTAATTTCAAATTTATAACAATTCGGAGGAAGTGGGCTTACATTTTCTATTTCAGGGGAGGCTCCTGCCTTCCTTAGCAGACACCTGTCTGTTCAAACCAAGACACTGATGTATCCAGAAATAGGTGTGGATTTCCTTCTGGAGACAGAAGGATGGCACAGGGAGAGTCAGGGAGCCTGGCTGTGCTGCTTTGGGCTGGCACAGAGCTCATCTCCCTCACGTGGCACCAGGCTGTGGTTTGGGTTTGTGCTGGAAGCTGCTGAGAATTCAGAGAGGTTTTGGTTCAGCCAAAGGCCTTTCCTGCTCCTCATGGCACCCTGGCAGGGACACAGCTGAGCAAGGGGTTAATTATTCCTTGGTGTAGGGGAGGATGAGGATGGGAGGGTGCACAGCTCTGGCTCCAAGTGTGGGCACACATGGCAGAACCTGAAAATATCACTTTATGTCACTTTTTTCATCCTGTGCTGCTCCTCCAGCATCTCTGCTGAAAGCACTCCCAGGGAAATGCAGATGAGCCAAATTGGAATCATCTGCAAAGGAGCAGGAGCTGAGGGGTGTTTTAATGCAGTGGTTCTAATTGCTCCCCATTTCCTGCCAGGGAAACGTGTAACTAATTAAGTCTATGACATTAATTTAACTCAAACAATAAAATGTGCTCGTGTCATCAGAATTATTTACTAAACACACATTTTCCTGGAGGGAGAAGGGGAGAGTTTGTAAACAAAATGTTAAAATATGTTAAAAAACAAAATGTTGTGTTTATCGCCTTTCTGAATCCCAGGTGAAACTGCTGTCAACACAATGAAGGCATTAATTAATATTTCTTTTATAATTTCTATTAATTTTACATTGCTAATTTACTTTTAATTATTAATATATTATTACATTATTTCTTATTAATACATTAACTGTAATTATAATATTATTTATAATTAATATAGGAAATAATACCTGTTTTAAGGTTAAAACTCAGCCTCTGTACCTGATTTCTGTCTGCCTTCCCAGCAGAATCTGTTGTGTCTAATTGGAGATTATCCCAAGTATCCCAACACAGCCCAAATTTGACAGTTCAGCTGAGCACTGGAGTAATGACTTAAATAATGCACCTTGGAAAAGTTAATCCTTAAAAATCCGTTAGACATATCTTGTTTTCCAGGTCAAAGCAGAGCTAAATTAGACCTTTCAGAAGAATTCAGGAATTTGGGGATGGGGGACAAAGGGAGGACTGAGCAGTTGCTCTGTGGCTCATCTCAATGGTGCAAAACAAACTTGCTCATTCTGTGGAAGTGCAACAAAAATTGGATTTTGTTCCACTCCTCCCAGATCTTGTCCCAGCAGATGACAGCCAGGCAGAGAAATAAAATAAAGCACCATATCAAAGAGATATTAAATCCTGTTGCCAACAATTGGCTTCATTTTTCTAGATATTGATTGCTGTCAAGGTCCTGTCTGGGGAAGGCTGCACAGTCCTGCTTTATGACAGCGCACAGAAACAGGGGATCTTCAAATCCTTGCTCTGGGAACATTTCTATTCTGCCACTTAAATTCTCCCACAAGTTCTGATGTTTTATTCCTTAGATCAAGAGGCCCAGAAAGGCCTCTTGTTTTCTCAAGTTTCTTGAGGCCTTCTCAAAAAAGGCCTCAAGTTTTCTGGGAGAAGGGGGGAGAGGCTGATGGGAGCATCCTGCAGGTCAGGCATTGTCACTCAGGGGCTCACAGACAGCTCTGGCTGTGCCCCCTCTGTGCCAGGAGCACTGCAGCACAGCACAGACACTCCCAACACACCAGAACCTTCCAAAAAAAAATCTTTATTTTCCCTTTTTCATTTCAACAGCACCCTTGGAGAGCCACACAACTTGAACCCCAAGCCCTTTGAATTGTTGTACACTATAACTGCCATATCAATGTTGTGAGTGTAAAAGCCATCCCATCCTCTCCAGGCTGGAGTAATTTCTGCCTAACCATTTCCCCCAGAAGGCTCAAAAAATGAATTTTCTCCAAGGAGGTGAAAGAAGTTGGCAGCAAACCACTCAGGCCAGTGGTTGGAGCAGTTTTGGGGTTTGTCTGAAGCACTCAGCTCAGCAACAAAATTCCTGCATTCTTCTCTCCTTTCTCCCAGGGTTTCTTTACCAAATGAGGGAATCTATCAAATACTGAAGCCCCATTCACTGTTTCCATATTTCTGCTCATTTTTCCCCATCTATTTCCCACACGGAGACTCAGCCAGCCCAGCGTGCAGCGCTGCCTTTGATCTGTGCACCAGAAAATCTGTATCAAGTCAGCTGCACATTTCTAAGCAGATTAAATTTGCCCTTGTGGTTCATCTGAAGCCTGACAGATCTCTCCTTTGTGTGCTTTGAGGTCCAAGATCCCAAACCAGCAAAACCCTACAGCCCATCTGGAAGTTTAAACATACGAGGCCTCCTTCAATGGGAATTATTTAAAGTGCTTAAAACCCCGTGCTGCCAAAATCCTCTGCTTTTCTACCCTGACCAGTGACCTTCACCTGAACATTACTGAAGTGTTCTGGGCTTGTAATTTAGGGTTTTTTTGGAAGATGGTTTTAGAGACGTGAAAAAAGCCCACAATCTTCATGTGGAGAATGGCGGCCATTTTTGTTTGGGGTGTGATGGAGATGTAGGGCCCAAGGTAGGGCATGAGTTTGAGAGATAAGTCAGTAGTTTTTGAGAAAATTGTAAGAAATGGTGTGGCTGAGTGTCCCCTCCTTGGCTTCACAAGGTTACAGGCTCATTTGCCCTTTTTCAGCCCACATTTAAAGGAAGGTGTGTTCCCAAGAATCTGATCTGTGGCAAAGTGCAAGGACCCACAGTCCTCATGTGGAGAATGGAGGCCCTTTTTGTTTGGGGTGTGATGGAGTTGCAGGGCCTAAGGTAGGTGATGAGTTTGAGAGATAAGTCAATAGTTTTGGAGGAAATTGTAAGAAATGGTGGGGCTGAGTGTCCCCTCTTTGGCTCCATGACTTTAGAGGCTCATTTGCTCTTTCTCAGCCCTCATTTAAAGGAAGATGTGCTCCCAAGAGCCTGAGGTGTGGCAAAGTGCAAGGACCTGAGGGGAAAATTTACCAAAGGTTGATATGATGTGGGACTTGTGCTTGCAAAGAAAACAGCCTGCTTTTCCCAGCAGGAACTGGGGAAGGTCCATTTGGGGATCTGACATCTACCCCAGGCTCCAGGGAGCAGTTTTACCACAAAACCAACTCTGAGAGAAGCAAAAACTCTGAACCAATTCCAGGCTCACCTCCCTTCTCTCAGTAAAAACAGAAATTCAGTGCTCTCACTTCTTCTCAACTGCCAAACAAAGCTGAAAGGTTGTCATGCCTGGGGAAATTGATATATTAGCACTTTTTAATACAAATGCCTTTTTTTGGTGGCTATTCAGCCCAATATATCCTGGGAGCTATTTTTGAGTGCCATGCACAGTGGAAATAGCCCTCTGAGCTCAGGAGCCAAACCCAGAAGGAACAAACCTCCCATGTATTCTTCTGGATGCTGCCCATCCTCCCTCATCTATGGAAATATTCCCATTTTGGTGCAAATCATTAATCTGGTAAATTGCAAATGTCAAGGTGAAATGTAATGAAAGGAGTGGGAACAAGAGGAAACTGTGCCCAGTTTTCCTCTCCTTTTGCACCACTCTGTAGCCTTTTGGAAATGTGAAAATATTTTCCAAAATATGCTTCTTTGGAATAAACTGCATGTTATTTATGGTTCCTGACAAGATCCTAAGCTACTGATACCCTTGATTTGTGTGTTTAATTTGGGTTTTTTGCAAGAAAAACAGAGAGCAGTCGCTTGTGTGAACCTGAAATCTATTGCAGACATCCCAGTTCTTGACCAAGAAAGTTCAGGGCAATACTTTATCTGAAAAATGAATTGTTCCTGTTAATCTTTTCAATCTGCTAGGTAAAAAAAAATAAAATAAAAAAACAATTAAATGGAAAATAGCAGACCACTTTTTGATTCAAATAGGACTGAAAGAAATCTAAACTGATGGGGGAAGAATCCTGGCTGGTGCTTTCTGTGGGATCTGCAGTTTGGAAAAGCTGAGGGAGAGAATGTCGGGAGGACATGTCTGATTTAGCTCCTGGGGCTGAGGGGATAAAGGATCTCCCTGCTCACACAAAGTGAGGAATGAGCAGGGATTTTAGATTTTCAGATCATTTTGTTGATCCTGATAAAGCCATTTTGGCTGCTTCTGGAAGTGACTGGGTGGGACAGCCCAGTGGGTAACGCTGACACAGAGCCTTCAACATCCAGCCCAGCCTGATGCTCCCAAAACAGGGGCAACAACATCCTCATCCTCATCATCCTCATCCTCCTCATCCTCCTCCTTCTTCTCCTCATCCTTCTTCTCTTCATCCTCATTCTCCTCCTCATCCTCCTTCTTCTCCTCCTCATCTTCCTCATCCTCATCTTCCTCATCGTCATCCTCCTCATCATCATCCTCATCCTCCTTGTTCTCATCCTCATAATCCTCCTCCTCCTCATTATCATCCTCAATCTCCTCCTTCTTCTCATCCTCCTCCTCCTTCTCCTCATCCTCCTCATCGTCATCCTTCTCATCCTTCTCCTCCTCATCTTCCTCATCCTCCTTATCCTCTTTCCCCTCATCCTCCTCCTTCTCATCATCCTTCTCCTCATCCTCCTCCTCCTCCTCCCCTCCTGCATCTGCACTGCCTCATTTCTCCCCTGCCCAGGGCTCAGTGGCACCTGAAGCTCTGAGGAATCAGGAGATTTGTGTTTGCTGCCATCCAGACCACCCTGGGTATTTCATCTCCAGCCCATAAAAGTTGCAGCCTGTGCTGCTGAAATCCTCTCACAGTGGCTGCAGCACATGGCTGGGGAGGAGGAGAGGCAGCTTGCCATGTTTTTCCCATCCTTGCTCATAAATAGCCTTTGCTTTGATGTTTCAGATGACCTTAGCATCCATCAACAGTTGCAGCCCTCAGCAGCTCATTCAGTGAGCTGATGTTTGTAAATAAAGTGGAGATTTTAATCCCCGGGAGCAAAAGGTCACTTGGAAAGGGGGAATGATTCATCCGTGGGTCTGTCTCCTCTGTCACACAACTGGGCTGTAAAAGTCACAAACTGGTTTTGAGCAAATCAGAAAAAAAATTTATTTAATTACATAATGAAATATCAAGGTAGCAATGGCCAGAAGTAATTTCTATCAATTTGAGTTCCCTTTTTAGTAAAGCATCTTTTGTAAACCACTCCCATGGGCTCTGTTCAGGAGGCCTTTAACTCTGTGGGAGCAGATTCATTCCCAAACATCTCAGCCCTCTCTGCTCTCACTGACCCCATGTGGGAGCTCCCTCCTGCCCTGACATCCCACTCCTCCTCCTCACTGATCCCGTGCCAGGGCTGGAGGTCACTGAAGGGGCCCTGTGGGGAGAGGTGCTCCCAGCAGCTGCCTTTCCTTGCCCTGAACCACAAGCTCTCTGCTGACAGCTTTTTATCTTTTGTGATCTCTGGAATTCATCATTTTCAGCACAAAAAAACTCCCCAACATCTGTGCAAGGAAATGTCCTTGGTAGCTCAGCATCCCAGGGCTGTGTGCACAAAACCACAGCAAGCAACACAGAGCTGTCCTCCAGCTCCAGCTCTGGTGACAGGAAAGGGAAATCTCCCATAAATTACAGTTGTGCTTTTAAAAGTTTGTCAGCAAACAGCCACGAATCCCCTTTGTTATCCACAAGGGCCTGTTTGTGCAAGATGCAAGCTGGGGGCAGGCCTTGGGCAACGCAGGGTGACCTGTTCAGGGTTTTCCATGAATGCCACAGCTGTGGGGCAAGCTGGCATCTCCCTGGAGACAAATATTGTGGGGAAAAGGGAAAGGACAAACTTTGCTAAACCAGATTGCTTGAGAAAGAAGGCTGGAGTCTGCAAGATGCTGGGTGTGAGGGGAGCAGTGGTTTTGGTGTTTTGCTGAGTGTGAGGGGAGCAGTGGTTTTGGTGTTTTGCTGGCAGGCTCAGACAGTTTGGCTTGTTTTGAGGCTGGTGAAGGAGCCCTGGGGTCCCTGTGAGCTGCTCCATCTGACCCCAGTGTTTTATACCAGTGATGTCCCCTCTAACTCTGAAAAGAGTGTCCCAAATCCAGAGCAGCTGCTGATGCAGCAGGAACACAGCACTGCCCTGCTGTTTCTCCCTTTTTATCCCCCAAAACCATTTCAGTGCTGGTTGAGGAGCAGCTCAGAGCTCTTCCCATCCCACAGACTCCTGCCAAGGTGGTTTAGGAGCAGGGACAGGAGGGACAGACCCACAGCACCTGCCTGCATGGATGTGCCACCACATCCCTGTGGTTGCCTTTGCTGCCAGAGCAGAAAATGCTCCAGCTCTGGCTGCAGAGCCCATCACAAAAACACCATTATTGTGAGCAGTGGTTATTTCATTACTGTGGCAAAAGAGATTGTGGCCATTTAAAGGAGCAGGATAGAGTCTGTAATATAATTAGATGACCCTGAAAAAGCAATAGTGGAATTCAATCACTGGGCAATCCACATGCACTTCCTGAAGGTAATCCATCCCAGTGTCAAAGGAAGCCCATTGTTCTCATCCCCCAGGGTCTCCTGCTCCCACAATGTACAAAGGGCTTCCTTGTCAGGACCAACAAATCTCCTTCCCCAGCTTAGTCAGAGATAAGAAAACAATGTCTGGACTAGCCAGACAATTTGTCTATCTTTAGGCACTTTGCTTTTCTCTTTCTAAGTTTCACTGTTTCCCTGTTTGGGCCAGTGCTGATAATGCTTTGCCTGGGGTAGGGCTCTGCCTGACTTACACAATGCAGAACTGAAAATCACTGCAGGTCATCTTGCATTTGGAACAAGATATTGGAAATACATTCACATCCCTAACTGGCTCACACACAATAGGAAAAAAAGTTACTCAAAATATGAACCAGCTTCCAAGCTCCTCCTTTGGTGGCCCTAATTTAGAATTAGACTTTTTATTGTCCCTTGCCACCTGTGTACTGTGAGATTTGATTTGTAAACACTGGCTCAGAAACTCAGCATTCATTCATTAATTCTACCAAGAATGTTCTGTTTTGTAACCAGAAAATTGAATTACTTGCTACTTAATTTTAGTACTTTCCACCTTTTGTCTAGGAAATTGAATTATTCTGGTTAGTTTTCTTTCTCCCATGTCTAATAACTCCCACATACACACCACCCTTCTGTGTTAATATATATTCAGCATCCTTCCAGCAGGTAAAATTCCATCTAAAGCATCCTTGTCTGAGCTTGTTGAGCTTAATAAGAGCTACAGTGGAGAAAGTGAAGCCAGAATTGAGTCAGAGCCTTTCTTTTGTGGGAGCCCTGGGGGCTCAGCCAACCTGGGGGATATTGGAAACAAGGCAACCCCAATGGCAGGGAGAAAATGATGCATCTGACTCTACCTTAGAAGGTTAATTAATTACTTTCTATATATTATATAAATTATTCTATAATTATATTACATTATTCTATATTATTATATATTAAATATATATTACATTATTCTATAATTATATTGCATTCTATATTATTATATATTATATTATATATATTATATATATATTATATATTATATATTATATATTATATATTATATATTATATCTATTATTCAATATTACGTTACATTATTATCCTATGTTATATTACATATATTCTATATATTATTATATATTATAATACTATATATTATATAGTATTATATATTATAGTATATAATATTATACATTATGATTTTATATTAATCTATATTATATTACATTACATCTAAACTGAATCTGCCAACACTCAACTCAGCTGTACAACATCTTGTGACTGTCCCAACACACACACACCTGGATTCAATTGGTCAGTGAATCAAAACACCCACACCAGAATCCAATTATCAATGTCCTTCAGGTAAACATCTCCTTCAGGTAAAATCCTCCACAGTGCATTCCACTATGGCACAGCACAGGCACAGAAAATGAGATAATTGTTTTGATCATTCTCTGAGGTTCAGAGAATGTGAATCTCAGAATATCCTTGGGAAGTGTGAGAAATGTGGTGACAGGGGGACATAAAATCCAAGTTTGTGCCTCCGTGGAGCTGCCATTAGCTAATGGCT